GACACTCCGTGCAGCAAAAATAAGTTTGAGTGAGATTCTCTTTCAATTCCTTACAGCTGTATCCTCATCTGAGTGTTAATCATCACAGCTCTACTGATGGCATTTCTTTAATTTCCCATGGATATTTCCTGCCCTTCACAAGTTCCTCTGAATCCTTATTATTTTTGTGGTATGCATCTGGTGTGAAAATCCTGTCTGGTGAGGCAAGACAGGCAAGAACTCTCTCTGCCCCACTCTATTCTAGCTGAAGTTTCAAATTTGAAGAGTAAGTTTAAATTTATTTTTCTGTATATCTTCCCCCTCCCTCTCCCCTTTCCTTGGAGCTCTCTCACACTTTTGAATATAAGATTAAGTCTTTAAGTTCAGTTGTTCTTGCAAAGTCTATTAATACGTACTCCTAAAATGCATTTTACAATTGCCATGAAAGAATCCTACACACAGCTTTTGAAATTTCGGAAAGGTCTCGTACTCTTTCAGTCAGTAATGTGCTGCCAGCAATTCTTGGCATGTGTTCCGTGTGCTGCGCTTACAGAACCAACTGCTATCTTTTTAATCAAGCTGGAAGGGGAAAAACAGAGATTCTTTTGTGTGAAGAAAGAATGGTTGAGGATATGTAATACAAAGCCTACATTAGAAAAACAGATCTTAAAATTTCCACTCCAACTTTTCAGCAAGTAGAAAAAGTTCACATTAAAAGAAATGAACTCAGTTATATTGTGACATCTTTTTAATAGCTTTACATAAACTTTCTTCCTAGTTAGAGTATTTTAAAGACTTTTAAGGTGTTTGTGGTGCATGCCAGGATGGTAGGAAGCAGCAGAGTACATTCAGCAGTTGAGGAAGAGGAAAATAATTTAAGTCAAGTCTAGTCCATTTTGCACTCAGGGGGTTGACTGTGCCTCCGTATAATCTCTTATGTGGGAAGATTGCAAAATGTGTGTCTTATCATCACATGTATTGCAAAATCCTGAGAGCAATCCTTTGTATTGCACCAGTCTTGTATATTCTTTATTGGATGTCTCATATTAACTAATGTCTAGGAATACACCTTGAATCAATTCAGAGCATCTTTTAATAGCATCTTTAAGCATAAGTGCTTTGTTGGATTTGGAGCCAGATGATGTGTTTGGTAAGAGAGGTTCTTACATTTTGACACAGTAGAGAGAGAATTTAGAAAGAAAATGTGCAAACTTCTTTTTCTGTTTCATTTACAGACAGAGCAGTTAAGACTGGTGAGAAATAGCTCCTAAAGAACACCGTTGTGTCAAACAATCTGTAAGTATAAAATAGAAGCAGTATGAGAAAGGGAAAGTCTGATGACAGTTTGACTGTCTTGTCTTATAAAACAGCTGCAGAAGGTGGAGCCAAGGGCTTGAGAGCTCTAAGGAGTGCCAGTGAGGGGGCAGAAGTGCATGCACATTTTAGGAGAAGATAATTCAGTTTAGAGAGGCAGATGAAACATAGCCTAGGAGTTTATATTGCATGGAAACTTAACAGAGTGTTCTTGGTTTAGAACAGTGTTTTTAATATTCAAAATATCCCACTCAGTAGGTACTATGAAACTGTGCCATTTTACAGCTCAGTTTTGCAAGTTCAAACAGGTGCTGGGATTAAAATGACTTGCACCTCTTCTACCAACTTTAAAGCAGACAGGTTTGCTCGTCAGCCCTCAGATCATGAGCCTCTGGGAAAGGCTAATTCCATGCAAATAAAGCCTTCATTTTTTATGTAGCCAGGGTCAAAACATTTGTATTAGGGGAACTTCATGGTCATAAAATATGATCTGGAATAGAAAGACTAAAAAAAATTAGTAGTAATAATTGATAGATTTATTTTTTGCCTAATATATATATATATCACATTGGGATTAATGAGAGCTAGTTAAGCATCTTGCAACTCTAAAACCTGTAGCACATCAAAGATGCACAGTCTTAGTTAAACCAGTCAAACTGCAAAATGGCTTAAAATTCCTGTGCATCTGTAAGAATAGTATTTGCTATAATTGTATTTTCTGTCTTTGTATTAAATGACTTCCACTTTAAAGTAATGGTACTATTATTTCCAAACAACAACAGTGGGTGCAAAATAATAGGATTATATTTCAAATGAAAATAGGTAAGTGTACAGCAAGCATATGATCTGTTTCAACTGCAAGTTTTTTGTACTTTACAATGCAAATTTCTGGATGTAGATTAATGAGAAGAAAGAAACTATCAGGTTTTTTAAAGGAAAACTACTTAACATATGTTAATCTGTCAAATCTTTCCAACCCTCACGTGTAATAAATTTTGAAGCTCATCTACAACATTTAAGAGTGTTGAAGATTTCAAAGGCATTACACTGACATGAGTATGGGCTTTGTCCCAGCAGTGGCTGGACAGCAGAGAGACATCCTGTTGATGCTCCTGCTGGGAAAAAGTAGGGAGAACTGAGCCCTTATTGGTTGTATTTGACATCAACCAGCTGCTGAATTAACCTGCTTGATGCTCCAGTGGAGCTGCTCTCTCTTCTTCTGTCTATGGCTTGGCTGTGTGGTGTCAACAGCCTAGATAAGGACTGAGGGGAGAATCCAGGAATTCTGTGAGATCCAGTTTTTGTGTTAGTCCAGATTCAGAGAGTAGAAGTAGGAGACTCTGCAGGGCAGAGATTTATTCAGTAGGAATCACAGGTGCACTACACCATCTGGTATAGTTCTATACCCCATTGATGCCCCTCTCCATCAGTTGGGTTTGTGCTGCAGCCATACCTAAATATTAGTCCTTAAGCTGTGCCAAGTGCTGCTATACCCAGGACTACAAACTTCGGGCTTGATTTCTTAAAAAAGGGGTATTAAATGGAAACACAAAGAGAGTATTACCCCCTTTATATGACATTCAGAAGACCAATAGTGGAATACTGGTTATAGGCTACCTGCATATTAAGGAGGATGAGATTTTATTTTTAAAAAGAAATACGGCTAATAGAGAAGCTCAAAGTTAAGCGGTGACTTGATCATGGAGCACTGGTTGTGTTCATAGAGGAAAGATTTTTGTCGTAGTAGACAACTCTTTAATCTGTTAGATACAAGAGAAGTCTCTAGAAACTGAGATTCCAAGCAAGGTGCAAATTTGAACAACGTAATCAACTATTGACAAACATCCCTGTAAAGGTGGTAGGGTATCCCTTACAGCCAGTCTTTAAATCAGGGCTGCATGTCTTTAGGAGGTACAGTGGAGCTCGGACACTGTGGAAGTTGCTGGTGAGAGCCAGCAGAGGTCAGACCAGGTGACAATTGTCCCTTCTAACCTTAAATCCTCAGAATTCTCTTAATACTTAATGCTAGACTCTTTTTCCATCAAGAAATGTTCAGCTAGTCCAAGAAATGTTCAGCTAGTCCAGAAAAAAGGTTGTATTTAAGCAAAAAAACCCAAAAACAACAGTTTGGGGGATCAAGTACTATCTAGACATCGTAATGAGGATGTGGCCCAATTGTGTTACACACTTAGTACATGCAGTAAAATATGGCCCTGGGTATTAACAGTTGTTCTGTAGAAATTGAGAAGGATTTTAAAGCAACTATTGAGGTTTTTTTTTATTCAGTTCCAGAATGAATTAAGAAACTATTTTTAATGACCACATGGACTAGTCATCTCTGAGGGAGGGAAAAAGTGGTAGCCTGGAGAATAAACATGATGAGATTGGTAGATTCTTTTTAATTAATCTCTCAAACTGAGAAAATTCATCAATAAATATGAGGAGCAAATGTTTAACATTTAGGTTTGGTTTATGTTCACATTCCAAACTAATACAGTTAGAGACACTTAAACATTTGTGAGTAGTGAACATATGTTTACAGAGTAATTACATTTAACATTAGGAAATTCACAAAACACTTCCCATATCCCTGTGGTTTATGCCCTTTCGTTTTCGAAATGTCATGTTGAATAGTATGTTAAATTCTAGCTTCTTTCTAAGCTAGAGGTGGAGGTGGCTGCTTTAGAAGATATTTTTCTCAGCTCTAGCAACTTCTTGTACCTAAATATATTGTTAGTATTTCCATATGTCCTGTTACCTTGACATTTTCCAATAGGCCAACAGGTTAAGGTATTAATAAACAATGATTAAGCAAGTTTTTTTTCTCTAGCTATAGTTGCACATTTCAAATTGTCAGTTTGTTACTACTGAGATTTCCCCTCTGTACAGAATTACCTTTGTCCAAACTGTTCCATGCCAGTCAGTGATTAACAAGGGTTGGCTAATGCGGTTTGTTACATTATGCAACTTTGATATTGCATGGCTTTTCACCAGTGGGGGGGGAAAAAAAAGGGAAAGTTTCTAAAACCCACTTGTTCATCTGAACTCTCCATAGGGCCTGAGCACTCAGAGCCCCTTCACCTGGGGAGGCTTTTGCAGGACTGGGCAAAGGAAGGTTACTGCCAAAGCCTCCAGCTCTGCTGGGAACAGCCCTGCACTCCCTGCCTGAACTCCCCCGGTGTTTGGGAGCTCCCGGGGTCTGGCTCCAGCTGGGGAGCACCCTTGGGTGGCTTTGCTCTTCTCTGCTCCCCAGCCCTCGGGGAAGGCGGGGAGAAGACGTTGCATCCTGCATCTCCTCCCTTGGGTTTAGTTCAGGGCTGCCCGGAGCACTTGGAAGAGCACCCGCCCTAAGAAGGCGGCTGAGCACAGGAGAGGAGGTCGCTTGTAGAAATAAACAAAAAAAACCGGGTGTCACTTAGTAACCATTCCCTTTAACAAATGATAAATTTGTTACTCCCTCTCGCGTGTCGGACCCCGTAGCGCTTTCTCGTTCTCCCAGGTGACTCAAACCCCGCAGCCCCACGTCTGGGGCCGGGCAGACCGAGGTCCTCCCGCAGGGCGGGGGCATCCCCCCCCTCGGCGAAGGACAGGCCGGGACAGCGCGCCCTTGGCCGCCCGTCCCGTCCCGTCCCGGCGGAGGCAGCGCCCCCTGTCCCTCCCGGGCGCCCGTAGCGGGGCGGAGCCTTCCGCCGGCGGCCCCCGGTGTGTGGGCGGTGCGCGGCGGGGAGCGGAGCGGAGCGGAGCGGGCGGCCATGGCGGCGGGCAGCGCCATCCAGATCCCCAGCCGGCTGCCGCTGCTGCTCACCCATGAGGGCGTCCTGCTGCCCGGCTCGACCATGCGGACCAGCGTGGACTCCCCCCGCAACATGCAGCTGGTGCGCAGCCGGCTCCTGAAGGGCACCTCGCTGCGGAGCACCATCATCGGCGTCATCCCCAACACCAGCGACCCCACCTCCGACTGCGACGACCTGCCCTCCCTGCACAGGTGACCCCCGGACGGGTTCTCCTCCCCTTCCCGGCCTCGGACGCTCGTCCGAGCTTGCTGCTTAACCCGATCCTACCTCCCCGGCCGGGAGGGTGCTGCCCCGAGGCCAGCTCGCCATGTTGTCACCTCCGCGGGGGCCAGGCTTTTCTGCTCCGTCGCCGTGTGGGAGACGCTTCTCCCTTCGGAGAAACTTTTCTCAGTGTCCCGGGGGGGTGTCGCATTGTGACGGGGGCTGTCTGACCGACGGCCGGAAAAAAAGTTGGAAAAAGGAGGCCGAGGTGGAAGAGGAAAATACGGTCAAACAACGCAGGCCAGGAGCATTAAGGCTGCCTCTTCACCTAATAAGTAGTATGGACAGTGACCTAGTTCATGTAAAATGAAGCCGAATTGCATTTCTGTGGGATAAAGCATGAGTAAAATTAACATGCTGTGACCCTTACTCTCAAAACTGTATTACAGCAGTGGATTTAGTAAGGTTTTGCAAGAAGAGACCGTCTCTGTTAAATCTACTTGAACAGGTACATGTGATCTAAAACGTTTGTTCAGAACGAGGCTAACAATTTCCCTGAAAAACTTTAAATTACAAACACCCCATTTTCCAATGTGTATACTTTGAGCAGAAATGTCAGCGTTCCTGTCTACACCAAGATCCATTAAATTATTTGTGAAACAAATATACGTTTCTAAGTCAGGTGACCGTATTCCATTATCTTAGTTATTTTTTTTCAGATAGCTTATTCATTTTCAGGGTTTAGGGTTTGGTCTTGTAATCTGTGTTACAAAAGAAATGGTATAATTTGGTTGCCTTTCATGATAAGGAACCCAGGAGGTTCTTGCAACCTATAGCTCGACTGCTTCTTGACAAGGGGCATGCAAAATGTTCTGTGGAAGGTGACAAATAATACAAAGATTTGATCTGTTTTCAGGATTGGCACTGCTGCCTTGGCAGTTCAGGTGGTTGGCAGCAACTGGCCCAAGCCACACTATACGTTGCTGGTTACGGGCCTCTGCCGATTCCAGATCCTGCAGCTGCTGAAGGAGAAGCCATATCCTGTTGCTGAAGTTGAACAGTTAGATCGACTTGAGCAGTTTACTAATCAGCCTAAATCTGAGGAGGAGCTTGGAGAGCTGTCAGAACAATTCTACAAGTACGCAGTGCAGGTAAATTGTTTTAACCCTATGCATCGCGTATTGATGTATTGATGCACGTATTTGTTTCCTGTCTGCCCTTTTTTTTCTGTAGGTTTTTATATTTTTCAGTGGCTTGTAGAGTTTCAGTACTTCAGCTACAAAATAAATATTTCTGTTGTATCTTAAGGTTTTTACATCAAGTTCCAGGCTCATTGCTGGATAAATCTAACCATGTATGTTGGTGCTGTGATAAGTTGGTATTATTTCGATAATTTGATAATATTATAGCAATAATATATTTCCACTCAAGTAGAAGGAATACTTTTGATAATTTTTTTTCGCCAGGATTTTATATATATACATGTAAAAATATATAGAATGGATTTCTTTTTGTGAGGAGTTTTTTTAGATTATAAAGGGAAAAAATCCTCTAGAGCCTTGATTTGAATAGATTTCTTTTTGTGAGGAGTTTTTTTTAGATTATTAAAGGGAAAAAATCCTCTAGAGCCTTGATTATAAACGGAGAAAGTCAAGAAAAGTCATTGCGGTGTTAAGATAACTAGAATGTGGTTTTAAAGGACATACAAGAAAAGTCATTGCGGTGTTAAGATAACTGGGAAAGTTTTTTGTCAGGCTGTGTAGAGGAAATAAGCCGTGTAGGCACTGAAAAAAGAGCTGCAAATGATGATATTTTTTAGGTTTGCCAAAAAGCAGAAAGCCCAAGGTCTTGATTGCCCTATGCTGTCCCTCTTCTGTGAATTTTTTTTTTTACTTCAGTAGCTTTTTGAGAAAGAATCTAGACACACTTCAAGATGCAATCATTTTTAGGTCAGGTACTGACTAAAATAATTTGAAAAGAAACATAGCAACCATGAATATTGTTCATTGTGTTTTCCTTACAGTTGGTTGAGATGCTGGATATGTCTGTTCCTGCAGTCGCAAAGCTGAGACGTCTTTTGGACAATCTGCCTAGAGAAGCTTTGCCAGATATACTGACTTCTATCATCCGTACGTCCAACCAAGAGAAGCTTCAGGTATTATGTTGTTAAATTTTTTAAGGGGAGCTGGATGTTTGCTGGTTTTTTTATGGTTAATCACTTTTAGATAATTTTGAAACTGCTTACACTCAAGACTGTATAGCAATAATGTAGTGCTAGAAGGTATTTGTGTTACAACTGAGCATGAATACTTGTAAAACGTTTTTATGCTGTTGTTTAAAATATTTATATATCCATATGTCAGAGCTCACCTAATAGGTAAACGAATTGAGTTAGCTTTGGAAACAGTTCATTTTCTTAAACAATAAATACAACATGGACATGATTAATCTTTCTTCAAATTGTGTTGAAATCTCGCTTACTTATCACAGTTGACAGATCATTATACATCTCTTAATACCAACAGCTTCAAAATCAGGTTTTTTTAATATTTTTAAAAACACCTTGAAATATGAAGATTTTTTAGATTCTGAGACACTGGTTAAACTTGCATCATATGTCAAAATAACTGTGCAAAAATAGTGCTTATGGCTTGATGCTTACTAGGCTGATTTTTATGTTTGCTTGCTGTGTTTGGAAGTTTTGTTTTTCCTTACCTTTTGTCGCTGCCAGTGCTACATGGTCAACCTTGAATTGAAAGGATAAGTTACGTTCTTTCAAAGCACAGCAAATAGAAATTAATGCATTAATTTGAAGTGGAAGTGTGTACTGGAGCTGAATATCCTGCTGGAGGAAAGTACGTTAGTCATTAAATTCACCATGGTTTGTTTTTTTTTTTTCAATTGGAAGTGCTAAAGAAAAGAGCATCTAGTGGTGGAAGCATTTTAAGACAAGCAAAATAAACAAATACCCCAAACCAAAACAAAAAAAACTTTTAGGCATAAGGTGATTTTTTTCTCCATTAACCAAGGAGATCATGCTGTAACTGACTTTCTTAGAGGGCTAGATCTTTCCTGAGGCTCAGTAATTGAAAAATAGGGTATTTATAGATGTTTGCCACAGAAAATGCAGCAAAAATATTAAGATGCTTTAAAAATTGACAGGATAAAATACTTTTTTTTCTATTTTGGAGTGCTTTTTAGTTTTGGCATTGAGACAAATTGATTTGTTAGATTTGGTGTGCTGTATTCTCACTGCATTTCTTGCTACCTCTTTTCCTAAACCATCTATTCTATAACTCTGGTCAAAAGACAGTAACAGTACCCTCCCTGTTCCCCTTCCCCAAAGTGATGATCCATCAGTGTGAACTTATATATGGCTGCTTACAACTCCTTGCTCTCAGATTTTAGATGCTGTTAGGCTGGAAGAACGGTTCAAGATGACTATACCATTGCTTGTTAGACAGATTGAAGGCCTGAAGCTGCTTCAGAAAACAAGAAAGCCCAAACAGGATGATGATAAAAGGGTATGGACAATTAAATATGGGATATTTAAGCATTCTAAATAAGTATAAAGATGCACTTTTAAACAGGCTAATGAACATGCACAGTTTGAATCTGTGCAAAGTTTTAATCTACAGCCATAACGTTTCATGGTCAGTCTGGTGCTGCAGAGATCACCCAGCAGGCAACTTTGGCTGTTTAAGATACCTAAAAGAGAAAATACTCTTTTAAAACTCTCTAGGCTTGTTTGTTTGTTTGTTTGTTTTAATCTGAGCACTTTCTGATGTTGAATAAGTGCTCAGGTTCCTTTAAAGAGTCACGTGATGCTCAGTTTACTTGCACAGTGTGCACACAAGGAGTTTTGGCCTCTGCAGTGGAAGGTGTGCCTTTTACTAATGGCATTGCAGGTGAATGATAGCTTTTGAAATGCAGATAAGGAAAGTGTGTTGTAAAAGGTAGCTTGCTAAACTAGGGCAGCTTAGACTTTTGCTGCATCTAGCTCTACTTCTGTTCAGTAAACAGAAAGTAATTGAGAAATTAAAAAAGGTTAAGAGGGGACTTCTCTGTTTTGTAAAGATTAGGCTTATTCTGCTTCATGTGATGGGCTGTGGTGCCCCAAAAAAATCACAAATAACTTTTCATTTTTGTTCTTGTCTTCTGCTGTCTGCTAGTTTAAAGTGGGTGATAAATGCACTTAAGAAATACATACAGTAAAATAACTGTAACTTTTTAAAGTAGTACCAATAACACTTTGTGAAGTTATTTATTGAATTAAAATCTTCTGAATTTTTTATGTGTTCTTGTCGTGGTTTCCATTCAAAAACAATGTATACAGCTTGTTTAATAGCCAAAAGCTGATACTGTTCTCTGGCTCTATTTTGCATTTCATAGGTTGTAGCTATTCGTCCTAATAGAAGAATCAATCACATTCCAAGTGCTACAGAAGATGAGGAGGAAGAAGAAGATCACGATGATGTTGTCATGCTGGAAAAAAAGATTAGAACATCCAGTATGTCAGAACAAGCTCTTAAAGTTTGTCTGAAGGAAATAAAGAGGTAGGAGACTTTCAAACGGTTGTTTCTTCTCTTATTTAATTTTTACAAACAAATCTTGTATTTACATTTTCTTATTTGATGAAAAGTTTGTATTGGTTGTGTTTTATACAGAATTTTTTAAAACTTAGTATGAGTGCTAGTTTTTGCTTCTAAATTTCACCATTTCATTTTTTTGGAACATCAGAGCTGATGAGAAAGAAATACGAAGTCTTCTAGATAACAGTTTGTACATTAATATAACACTAAACTAAGCTCTAAGGCTATGTTACGAAGTGAAGATCTGAAAAAAAAATAAACTAAATAACACTACAGTTGTTAATAATTAATGAATAAACTAACCCATGTACTGAGTCTCTCTTCCTCTGTTTTTCTCTAGTGAGAGGATAACTCCATCATCATAACGATCATCATATCCATGATGATATGATGGTTAAGAACCTCTTTTTCAGTGAGGATGCATATATAGTGGTGCACGCATAGTGTATGCATAGGAAATTGGCTCTTTTTCATTTCTGTTTGTATCCTCTAAATAATCTATTATTAGGCAAAGACAATCTCCTAACTGATGGATTAGTGACTTGCATTTTTAGTGTTATGGTTGTCAGAAAGTAAGAGGATATGCTAATGACCTCAAATTTGCCAAGTAGCTGTCTTGTGGTGCAGCCTTACTTCGCAGCTAATTCCTGGTTAGCCTTATGAATTCTGAGCATATATTTCCAGATTAAAGAAGATGCCTCAGTCAATGCCAGAATATGCTTTGACAAGAAATTACTTGGAACTGATGGTAGAATTGCCATGGAACAAGAGTACGAAAGGTAAACCTGTTACTGTTGATTGTCTCTTGCATAGACATTTTAGGATAAGTAACTGTCATGTAAACAGTATGGACTTAGTTCTGTCTTGCAAATGTTTGGCTTCTTGTCTGATCATAAAAATGTCATTAGTATGTTACTCAAGTCTGCCTGGCTTAAAATAAGCTCTGAATACTGAAAAGCCTGTGTAGCTCAGTTGTGCACCTAAGAATATTAATTTTAAAAGCATTAGGAATATCCACATAGAGAAATGAAGATGTTATTACTTACAATTTGTGCTAGTATGTATCTAAAATAATGAGGAAAAGACCATCTAAGTATTTAGATGCCAGGCAAAAATGTTTTTGTACACTTCTGTAGTGTTATTCTTCCTGAAGAAGGTTCTGGTATGTCTTTAGTTAATCAAGTTTGGTAAGGAACAAAAAGATGAAAAAGCACAACTGTAGTTAATAATTGCAATTTCAGGTTCTGTACAAAAACTGAATATCATGTCAGCTTTAAGTTTCAAGTACTGTAGTTTTAAAAAGTTGTGGGTGGAGAGTGATTCTATTAATATGGGAACAGTATGCAAAAATGGAGGGCAAGGAAAGAGTAGAAAACCGAATATGACTTTTCTTACTGACCAACAGAAGTAGACTAAGTGGGAAAAATTACTTTCTAGAAGTTGTACTGCTGAATAAAAGGATTTTATTTCCTTCAAGCAGCTAGTGAAAGTGAGTGAGGCTTTTGAGTGGCATTTAAACCAATCTGATTTTAGAAAGAAATTTAACATACCACACCAGCAGAAACATCTGTCTATCTTTTGCCGCCTTACTATGCACGGTGATGAGTTTTGTCTGTTCAAACTAGAGCCTTGGCTATTTACAACTCTTCTTGTAAAGATTTTCTTTAGTCATTAAATTGTACAAAGTTTGCCTACAGATCTTCGGAGATCCTCTACAGTATTATTGAGAATCCCAAAATGAGTAAAGTGTCTATTGATGTTCATGTCCTAGCAGAATGTTTTTTTGGTGAAAGTTGCTCTTTAATCTTGTAAAATTACGCCATGTTTCATGTAGTTTGAAGTTTTTAACTTTGAGTTGCAAAGTTTGTATTTGCATTCATGTGAGTGATGCTTCAGACTCCATAGCTACAGTGAATAAAAATATACATTAATATAAAAATAGAAAATCCAATAGAAAATTATGATCATTAGTGAACTTTTTGTTCAGTGCTTCATTACAAACATTTGTATGGTTGATGATGAGAATTTAATCACAATTGTCCATATGTGAAATACACACACTTACCATTCTAAGGGTCTGTGTCTGGGATACATAGAATATAAAGGGGGTGTGTGTGCAGAGTTGATAGACTTCACTGTCTCCTGCCTGCTCTCTTTATGTTGTAGAGCAAAGGAAAAGAGAGCTGCTTTGTGCCAGAATTCCTGCTCTGCGTAAAGCATTATTTAGTGTGCATCGTTGAGGCCTGGCCGTTTATCTCAAATTATGTCAATTGCAAAAACCGAATTTCTCCATACCTAGTATCATGTGGGTATTTTTAACAGTGCCAAATCATGGACATGTTGCATGGCAAGTAAAGCCTGCCCTTCAAGCCAGTAAGATCTTTCTCTGTTTGCAAGATTGTTATCGACTCTTAACATAAGTAGATGATGAAGACATAGGGGTGAATTTGTCTTTTGAGAAGAGCTTATGGGATCAGACTTACTTCTCTGAGAAAGCAAATGCTGAAAAATTTGCTTATCATTGAATCACTGTTCTAGAGTAGACACCAAATCCATTTGAACCAGGTTTCAATCTGTAACAGTGAAAAGATGGTGGTTTTTTCAATTTCGTTATCAGTATTATGATGTGTCTAGCTTATGTCTTATTTCCTTATTATAATTATTAAAGAATTACAATATCTTTGTTTTAGGAAAACTTTGTCTTAAACGTGTGTAAAAGGGTTTGCATTGATGAATGCGTTTCTTTCTATTGTATTGTAGAATGAATTGTTTCCATTTTTCTGATATTTCTTCTGTTGTCAATGATTGATAGATCGCCTTGAAATCCGTGCAGCTCGAATTCTTTTGGATAATGATCATTATGCTATGGAGAAGCTGAAGAAGAGAGTTCTGGAGTACTTAGCTGTCCGACAGCTTAAAAACAACCTCAAGGGACCCATTCTTTGCTTTGTGGGGCCCCCGGGAGTTGGTAAAACTAGTGTTGGAAGATCAATTGCAAAGACTTTGGGTCGAGAATTCCACAGAATTGCTTTAGGAGGAGTCTGTGATCAATCTGATATTCGAGGCCACAGGTAACTACTTCTGCCTTTCCTAATTGCAATTTTTAATTTTGTTTGTCACAGAATGCATTGATTATTTTCATTGTTTAGCTAATACATAAAAATTTTGCTTATTTCAAACAAGGTAGTTGTTCACTGATTTTTCTTGATATTCAATGGTATTGTCCTGAAATTCAGGAGAGAATCGCAGTAATGGGAGTGGATGTTTAGTGTTGAGACACTGCCTTTATCCTTTTCTTCCTCTGCTGCCCTTTATTGTCATAGGGGAGAATGGAATTTCGTCTTCACTCATTTTGGCACTTTGGGGTAAAATTCAGTAGAAAGTCTATTGCAGAATCTTAAACGTTGCATCTGATTTTTCTACTTTTTAAAGAGTGATGTAATAGTTTTGCTATACAAAATAGCATATGAATAGCAATGCATTACTTTATAACCATCTTTGTTGCTAAAACAGGAGGAGAAACACAGGATAGCAACTGAGTTACTGTCTCAAACTTGTTAATATGCTATTTTGCCATTTTAAAAGTAAGTTTATAAGAAGACACCTAAGCTGGAAGATTTCAAAGATTTTTTTGGGTGATTTTCCTTAGGACTTTTTTTATGATCTTGCATCTCTATGTATCTACTTCTTAGTCTTTTAAACCACTTGTTTATATTTGTCCATTCCCCATTCCTTGCAACTGGAAGCATAATGAATGGATAATGTAAATAACTGCAAATATCAGTGCAGCAATTTTGGTTACATTAAATATAATTTGTGCTTATCACATGCAGTGTGATTATTGTGAATTAAAGCTATCAGTTATTTCTTTGATGCCATGTAACATTTAATATTGCTTAACAGCTGTGTTGCTACTTTCAATCATCAGAATACACCATTATTCTTTCTTCAATTCCAGGTTATTCTGTAATTTCTTGTTGTTTTCAAGGCATAAAACGGACCTTGATATTATTACCACTTCCCTATGTAATTTTAATGAATAATTGGAAGAAATGCCCTAAGGAGAGTTCATTTTGTTGTATCAGACTTCAGATTTCTGACTGTATGTCAGTTATGTGTGTTACAGTGGTGGAACCTCACAGTCCCAACAGGAAGGAGTGCAGGCAACTCACTGGGAAATCTTGTGCTGAACATATGCATAAACTTCTAGGAATCTAGAATATGATGTATTTCTAGGAGCCTATAATACAATATACTATGGATCACTTCTTAGACCAGAACATGAGAGATGAAGAAGTGACAAAGCAGTGATTTTGTGCTTGACAGCTTGAAAATTCGGTGTTGTTTTGTGACCATTTAGCTCAGCACCCTTGATAAAATTAGCAACGTGTTTATTCCTGCACGTTCTTCTGTGGCAAATTTGCAGGAGTTTTGTTTTCCAGAGTGCTTGACACTTACCCAGAGTTTGTCGCTTGAAAGAATCTGGAAGTTTTTTCTTGGTGTAGGTTTGGTCAACATACCCAGCAGCCACTGGGGCTTTGGAGACACATTTATTTTTAATGCATTTTTTTTACTGCATAGCAGCACTCTGTGCATGTGTGTGTGATTGTTTCGTAAACCTTTGGAATAGCTGGCCTTTTTACCAATTTACTTACTAATGGAAAAAGAAGTGAAACTCTGTCCTTCTCCTTCACTATGTATTATTCCTGTAATTCATAAACTGCGTTGTTAATCACTGTTTAATAAGGTAGAATTCTGATGTTTCAGATTACTTATGGTATGTATCCTAAAAACAATTTAAAATGTGACTCAACAACATGTTGCTATTCAAGCTGAAACCACTAGAGGCTGTTGAATACTAAGTATTATAGATAGAATTAACTTTTCCACTGCAGAGCAGGACTGAAGCCTTTGTTACAGGGAAACCCCGTCTGAGAAATTGGCATTATGAGTCAAAGTAAAACTGTAAAACTGTCATCAACTCTTACTTAATAGCCAGTCTTTTTTTACTGCTTTTCTTTTTTCTTTTTTTTTTGGCTTCCTATCTTGTGCCTAGACCTAGTAAGGAATAAAGACATCTAGAGTTCTGTGATAAAGAGGCTTGTAAAAACTTGAATTTTAAATTCAAGTGTATTCATCAACAAAGGAAAATACTGTCTAGGATTAGCAAGAATATTGTGTGGTTACTCTTCAGTAAACAAGTCTATAGTTTAAAAACAAATTTTAGAGCAGTTAATACAAGGAGTCCCTTGTAACTGACTGCTTTTCTAAGTTTTTTGTAGGTAAAATCAAAACCAACTGTTGCATACTGTTTTTTTAGATTCTGCTTCATTTTTTTCCCCTTCTCTGCTTCTCAAAGTAAGATCAAATTAAAACTACAGGTTTTCTTTAAATCTCTCTGTATTGTTCTTTTGCATGAATAAATCCTTCAAGTTATTCCCAGTCAAGTGAATCCACATTATGCATCTGGTGGCAGTCACAGAGAGGAATTACAGAGGTCTAAAAGTGGAGGAGTCAGAGGCTGCTGTTCTCAGAGTTTTACTGTTATGTACGCTGATTTTCTAATATTACATGTTGGGAGCCATTCTTTTTCTCCTAAAAGCTCCTTATTAGGCTTTGGGGCTTAAGGATTCCATTAACATTGCAGAAGAATGATACTAACTGTACCTACAAATGTACTAAACATTTTTTAAAATGTACTAAATGTACTAGAACATTAAAAAAGAAACTCTGGTTCAGTTTTACTTGCAAGCAAACATTGCCTGAAATAGCATTCACTTTGGCTGCTTATTCCTGTTGTAAGTGAGAGGTGCAGAGTGATAGATTCAGCAAAATGAAATACATGAGATGGCAGCAGGGTGGGGAGCGGGGTTTCAGTAAGTTGCACAGGCAACTAGAAACGCCCAATTTTTGCAGTTTCGCTCTGGATCATGTGCCTGCAGCTGGGGTTTGTGAATCCCTTTTTGATTGGGTGAAGGGTAGCAACTACTGTTCTGCATTCCCTAAATGAAATCATCATCTTGGTGCAAAAACAGAACTGCCTTATCAGACATCCTCCAGCTGTTAACCACTCATCTATACCATATGTTAAAGTTGCTCGTTTACATTTGTTGTTAACTTGTATTTAAAAAAGAAATTGCAAAAACACCCTGCAGGATGACTTTAAACTTTTTTCCAAGAAGCTCACTGCATTTAAGATCTCAGTACTGATATTTTGCTTTATACAGGAACTACATGATCTTCTCTCTTGCATGCGTGTGTGGTTTTCTATTTTTAAAAAAGGAAAGATGTAATTGCACCATTTATTTATAGCGGTGCTGGTGAGATCACTGTGAAGCTCTCTCTTTCTCTCTCTCACCTCTGTGTGAAGCACTCTTTCTAGGGCAGTTTGCTTCTGGCTTAGGCCTGTGCTGAAGACTTGGTCAGGTGCATCTGTGTGAGAAAAGGTGTGATTCCTCCCCAGTACAGCCACATAAGCAGAAGTTCATGGCACAGGAAAAAACAAACCTCTAACAGTTTCACCTGTGAGAGGAGTAGCTTTGTTGTACAGGTGTAAAGCATGGAAATAATTGTAAAGCACTTGAGTAGACACAACCTCGCGTCCTGGCAAAAAATAAGCTGTGACCTTGTGCAAGTGAGTTCAGAAATAGTTTATTTGGTGACATTAGCTTCGTGATCTTTTCCTACCTCTGCAGTTTGAAAACCACTGTAGTTAAAAGCAATTTTAAACTTTTTGTCTTTGGAACAGTATGAAGAAAGTGGGTCGTGTTTTTATCAATAATACTAGTACTGTTTTAAGGGTTCCAGTTCATACACATTCCCAGTTTACATTGGGAGAGCTGACAAGGTTAGATTTCCCAGCTGTCTGTCTTGCATTTTCTAGGATATATAGCTCCTAATAACATATTGTGCAACTCTAGTGTTTTTTTTAAAGGTACCTTTTCACTGATTTAAAAATATGTAAAAAGATTACTAAATTACAGACCTGTGACATGAGCTTCTAAGGGTTTTTTTAATTGTTACTACACAAGTGAGATAATCAGGAAACTTGATCTGTACTTCTGGTTTTGCATGGAAAGCAGCTGACTCTAGATTTAGTGCATGGACAGAAACAGTGCATCAAAAAATGAGCAAAGCCATGTTATATCATCAAAAATGCTAATGTAGAATATTGATTTTCATCCTTTCAACCCTAGCTAAAATAATGAAAATGAAGAATCACATCACATTCAGTGGCTACTGTTCAGGAACAGCAATATTCAATTTCGCAAGTTACAAGGCAAAGGTTAATATTCAGACAGATATCTGCCATATCTGTTTGTAATTTTCATGTATTCTAGTGGTTTTATGTGTAGATATCTGCGGGGTCTGTCTTACTGAGGAATGAAAACAGGCTACCTGTGTTTGTATTTTCATGGTAAAATACTATCTTATTGTCCTTTATCATCCCAAATGTGACATTTACATTGGCATTCTTCACTTGCCTTGGAGATGTTGAGTCTTTGATTAATAGTATAATAAAATAGGTATCGGTCCATCTCTAATAAATTAAGGTGCATCACAGATTTATAGTTACACATGGGAAGAGTGAATTGATACATAGGTATTTCTTATCCTAAAATGTCTAGTCTGAGTTTCTACTTTGTGATACCTGATAAAATGACATAAATAAATTTAAGCATGCTTTTATTTGCAATTTAGTGCATCAATTAAAAATTCATATTGGAATCTGTTGTTCAAATTTACCACATCTAGAGATGCTTGAAAATACAGGTGAGAAGACAGTATGAGAGAGGAAGAGCAAAAATAGTCACTTGTCAGTAATGAAAGGAAGAGCAGAATGTTTCTAGCCACTGTTATCTCATCTGTTAGCCCTAATTCTGTGGACACTGAATATTTTGCAGAACCACTGCATATTTCCAACAACAGTTCATTTAATTTTGACCTGGGAGTTTCTTGAAGAACTCTTGGTTTCTATAGGGGACCATTTCATCCTTTTCGTAAATTGGATCAATTTCAGTTGGACTGTGGTTTCTATTTAAGTTTTTTGTGTGGTGGGTCATGACCCAAAGCTTGCTTTGGACAGGGTGCATTAACAAAAAAAGCAAACGAGTGACTTTCTGTCACTATTAGAATGTTTTTCTTATTGCTTGCATTAGAAGCTACTTAATTTTTATACTCTTAAAATTGTATTTCTCCAAGATACCGATGTCACTTGATTTGTTATAAGTTGTCTTGAGCATATTTGCTTTTTTCTGCTTTTTCTTCACCACAGATCTCGATGCAGTGTTCTTTAGCCTACATAGTGTATGATTTATTTCAAAATGTTAAGAAACTTTGAATCATAGAATGATAGAATTGTCTAGGTTGGAAGGGACTTTTATGATCATCGAGTCCAACCATCAACCTGACACTGACAAAACCACCACTAAACCACATCCCTAAGCACCACGTCTAAGTCTATCTGTCCTTAAATGCCTCTAGGGATGGTGACTCAACCACTTCCCTGGGCAGCCTGTTCCAGTGTTTGATAACTCTTTCTGTGAAGAAATTTTTCCTTATATCCATCCTAAACCTCCCCTGGTGCAGCTTGAGGCCATTTGCTCTCATCCCATCACTTGTTACTTGGGAGAAGAGACCAACCTCCACCTCTCTACACCCTCCTTTCACATAGTTGTAGAGAGCAATAAGGTCTCCCTTCAGTTTCCTTTTCTCTAGGCTGAACAACCTCAGTTCCCTCAGCCTCTCCTCATAGGTCGTGTTCTCCAGACCTCTCACCAGCTTTGTTCTCCTTCTCTGGACGTACTTAATTTCTGTGTCTTTCCTGTAGTGAGGGGCCCAAAATCAGACACAGAATTCAAGGTGAGGCCTCACCAGCACCAAGTGCATCATCACTGCCCTACTCCTACTCACCACACTATTCCTGAAACCTGATTGTGTACAACTGTTAAGTCTTACTAAAATATGCTGTATCTGTGAGAATCTTCCACAAGTATAAATATGTCATTAATTACCCAAATCTACTTCAATCTAAAATGACTGTGACTTGAAGTATGTTTTCAGAGTTGTTTGAGGGGGAAAGAAAGTATTTCAGTCTATTAATAACAAAAACTTTTTTGTATCTCAAGAAAGAAAATATTCTTCCTGTTCTTGTTTGTTTGTTTGTGTAAGTGCTTCTATTTGGAAAAACTTCAAAAAGGTTTTTAAAAGTGGTATGTGTGTGTGCATGGGTATAAACAGACAGATTTCTTACTCAGAAAACCTTTTGGTACCTAACACAGTCCTTTGACCTGTGTTGTTGCAATTGGATGGTGCAGGAAGAGAAAGAGTGTTTATTCACACTGCTATCCCTTGACTAAAGAAACCCAGTTTACCTTCATTTAGTTTATAAACCAAAGCTGTTTCTTAAAACATAGATATCTCAAAATTTTATAGAATTTAAAAGGATCAGAAAAAACTTTGTGTATATAAAACCACAAACATTCATGGAAAAGTGTATTGTCTTTAAACCTGCACTTGGAAATAATCTACCAAGCAAGAAAGAAGAATGTTTGATGTTTACCTAATTATGTTATCTTATTACTAACATAAATCAAATATTAAAACCTGTCAGGCTGCATTGTCTCTAAAGCATATAAAATTATTTACTAGTTCAGTAAGTGCCTTTTTGTTACAAAAAATAAACAAAAAGCCCCCAAAAAGTCAAACCCAAGAGCAACAACAAAACCACCAACAACAACCAAAACCACAAACAAACCTAACAACAAAAAACCCCAAAGAAACCCCGAAACTGCTACATTTATCAGTTGCACTGATAAATGATTCACATCTATGAACTTCAGTTCTGCTTCAGTCTTACAATTTTCTGATTGCATTTTATTGAATCCTTTCGTTCTTTTGGCAAGGCTGACTGTGTGGGGATGGAGGATGAAGCGGCACACTCGTGTGAGAGCTCCCCCGTGCAGATTCTTCATCTGTAATAAAGGTTAGAGTGCAGTCCTCAGTGGAGGCCACTCACTGCAGAGTAAGATTGCACAAAAGCAGTGAGGTGATGAACTGTTGCACTCTGGCTGCTCCACACTTTAGCAGCTGTCTCAAGAAGGTGGTAAATAGGCAAACAAATTCTGTTGCATTTCCATCTGTTTAGCAGATCTTAAAAACTTTGATTTTTGCTCAGATCTGGAATTAAATATAGTGACTGCAATTTGTTCCCTCAGTGATTAAATATTACATGGAACTAATACAATTGCTGTGTGGTTTGAGCTGGGTTTTTTTTAATATTTAAAGTCTTCTCTAGTATCTTTTGAAATTACTCCCATGGTATTTTTGGTTTCGTCTTTCTAAATGTCATCCTGTTTATTTTGGACTGTATTAAAACAGCTCATATGGCAAAGCAGGCCTGTTCTGCATATCTGCTTTGTGAGGGTCATGAGATAGGTACTGGAATTCAGCACTTCATGTATCTCTTTCTTCCTAAATGACTGGCATTTCATACTCTTAATGATAGTATTTTGTTTAGTTATGGCACAAGCAGAAAATGTGATAAATGTGATAAATGCAGCAAACAGGGGGTGCATGAAAAATGCAGTTGCTCTGTGCATGGTGAAAAAAAGTTTTTACCAACTTTGCTGAGTAACTTCAGACTCAGAACTTTTTAGTTGTGTTGCACTGTTCTAGTTTTTTATTTCATGTTGAAATGACATAGTAATTCTTTTTTGTGAATATTAAAGCATGCTGTATATACAGGGGACATCAACAGTTCAGCATATTTGGAATTTTGCCCTGGTTTGCAACATGCTGTGTGAACTCTCTTGCAATCAAAAACCCTCGGTATCATCATTATTAAAATGTTAGTACTAATGAGGTTCCCAAATCTGCTTCTGCCTGTTTGTACAGTACAAGGATGCTTTTACTGAGTCATGTAAAATGCCTACAAGCCATAAAGTTTGGATATACTTTAATACATATGTTTATCCTTCCAGACCAAGTAGTGCATCATGGAACTGTAATTTCCATCTCCTGGTATTATTGCTTATATTAGTTCAGATGCATATTCCATATTTTTATCAACTAGTTCCAAAAAGTTTTGCAGAAGAGCAAGAATTGTTAAAATGCTGCTTATTGTTATATTTTCCTTTCCATTTTGTTTTTGATGTTTCTACTTCTGTTACATGTGTCCGGCCCCTCTTCCCTCACATGCGTTTATTTCTCGCAGGCGCACCTACGTTGGCAGTATGCCTGGCAGGATCATCAATGGGCTGAAGACTGTTGGGGTTAACAATCCGGTATTCCTGCTAGATGAGGTTGATAAACTGGGGAAGAGCTTGCAGGGGGATCCTGCAGCAGCCTTGCTTGAGGTAAGACATGATAAATTACAAGCATTGTTTCATTTGTAATTAAAACGAATTAAAATATAGGACTCAGAAAGGAAGATTCACTGGACAAATGACAGTGTCAGCTTTTTTTATTCAAATCCCAGCTGCTATGTTTTGACATTGTTGGATTTCTGTCAATTAGTTGGGTGCAATGCAAATGCTTTATATAGTATGCTAAGTAATATATCTTTAATCTCAGTGATCTGTACTTAAACACAAGGATATATTTTGTGCTGTTTTGTATATTTAAAGACTGTTCAGTCCTTAAATATTAATTACTTGGGGGACTTGAAGACATTGATTTTTAATGACCAAATGCTGGTAACTATGAGAAACAACTGTAGAGCAGACAGATGGTAGCTGGACTTCTTCAAGTTTTCCCTTTCTTTCATGGAACAATTTTAATATATTTTTGAAGTTCCTGATAGTACAAGCTTATATGGGAGCTGAGCATTTTACCTAGAACGTAATACAGACATTTTGCATGATCTTTTAGCAGTGTTTCTTTAATTAGTGTTGTAATTAACTTTCTGAACTTAAGTTTTTCATTTAAGTCGCAGCTCCCTACTTCTTCACTGATTCGGATGTAGAAAGAGTTTGTTTTCCGTGAGAAACAACTATTAAGCGTGTTTTTTCTGAAATTCTGGGAGTCAGACCAAGATATAAATCTAATTTGGAAGTATGTGTTATCACAAAGAATTTAGAGGTGTTAAAGTTGACTTGCTTAAAGAGACAAATAAAATCTAGGAGATACAAGTAAGGACTTTGGTGAATTGAGACATTGTTGGAATGTTTTGTAATATATCAAGTGTTGGGATGTTATTAATAAGGTTAGTTGTTGGGATTTCAGGAGGCTAAAACTGGAGTGATTCATGCATCAGAGCACAGACCAGTAATGAGTTGCCAGAACCTTCTTTCTGTCTTCTTTTTCCCTGAAGTATGGTACACCACGATATCCCAGTACGATTCCTTCTTCCTCTGACTCAGATATTGAGCAGTTTTATTCTAGCAGTTTGCTGGAGAGGGGAAGGAGTGTCCCCTCAGGTGTGGGGAAGAGACAAAGAGCCTTGCCCTTCCCCAGTGTCTTAGTGTGGAAGGTTGTGTACCTTTTCTGTGCTAGAGCACTGCTGATGAGGAAGGTTAAAGGCAGAGCAAGGCAGGGGTGGACATAAAGGCTTGAGCCTGTCCAGGGCAGATGTAGCCCTCGTGCACAAAGGTTTTGATATTGTGTGCATTTAGGATTTCCTTATACTGCTGTATTTTTACACTGTCTACCTTTTTTTTTTAAAGTTCTCTCTAGCTGTGGGGGCTAAAGTCCTATCACTGTTTCACCTGAACTACTTCTGCGATTGTTCTTTACCTGTTTCAGTCAAAAGGAGTTGGGTTAGTAAAATGTATTTATGCAGATTTTTTGAGCTAGCCTGGCTCACTTTCACTGAAATGATCCTAGGTCCTAGGGCATGATCCTAGAAACACCTCAGTTGTCAGACTTAGGGTACAGTAACTTCTGTAGCTGGGTGGTTGTAGGTGGGGATGGAAGTGGTTCTGGTAATATTTGCCTACAGAGTCATTCTAATGACTCTTTTTGACTGACAGTGCTTAATACAGTGATTTGAATATGAAAAATACTACTTAAATTAAGGTGTCATGAGCTTATCTGTATGCTGTATGACTTCCTGCAAATGAAATGTCAATTGACATTCTACAAATGTCATTATTTTCTTCCTGCTAGATAGTGTAAAATTACTGTTTTGACAAGGCCAACTAGTTCTTTGAAAATCAGCGTATGAACAGGCTATGGTTTGAGAGCTCTGTTTTGATCTTTGCATGTTAACATGAACTAGTAATAATTTAAATGTGCTAGAAAATACCATGGCTTCACTCTTTTAGCTTTTTAAAATGACAGTTATGATCCTTTACCTGTGCATTTCTCAAGCATGTAGTACACATTTCTTGCGCACATGAAAAGCCTCTAAGAGCAAGGAAAACAAGCAGGGGAGTGTAGCAAATATTCAAATGCATTTTCTGTGTACTTTTCACTTCCAGGATTTGATTTACTCTTTGCTCTTAATGGTAATGAGTTCTGTTTCTTAGTTTTCTGATATTTCTGCTGTCATTTCTCCTTTAGATATTGAACTAAGCTGGCCTACATCTAGTCAGTGCATGGATAAAAAATACCTGAAAATCAAATTTTGTTAGCTAGCTGACTGCTGTTTGCTAGGCAGCCAGAACTAGTAATGAAGCAATGATTTGTCATTTCTTGGAAAGAGAATAACTTTTTTTGGAAGTGCTCCGATCAGTAATCCAGATCTGTACATTAATATTGTTAATTTTATTCAACCTCTGCTGTTTCTTTTAATTTATTTTCCATTCCCTGTCTTGCAGTAGAGAATTAGCATTTCCGTTCTACATTTATCACATCCAGTGTGTGAGGGCAAATATAATTACTTTCTTTTTTAATTATTTGTGTTTGACTTTTTGATACTTTGTGGCTGCTTGAGGATGTTTCTGCTTCCCGTATTTTAAAACCACATTCTCAGTGACAGTCAGCTCAGCTCCTGCCATGGATTATTCCAGCTGAGGCTGGTCAGGTTACCTTCCAGCTGTCCGCTTGGGCTGCAGTCTTTATGTAAGTTATTGCTAATTGACCATTAGTTGCATCTGGAGAAGTAATTGCTCTATTAACCATGTCTGGGCTGCTCCCTTCTGAGATCTGTGTATCCCTCTACTGCTGTCTAAACATCCTGAAGCAGGTGCTTTACCTCTTCTAATGGACAACTCATGCCTGGACATAACAGCTTAATTTTCATCTGCTTTTTGTGGTTTACACTGTTGGAAAGTCCATCTGGAATGAGCAAAGGTGGCTATTATGTAGGAGAACAAACAATAGTAAGCGGTCACCTAACTGGCACATTTGTTTTTCAGACTGCTGCTTCTTGTTAGGTAAGTGCCATCATTAAGTGTAAAAGGCACATCCTTTTTTCCTTAATGTGTAGGTGTGTTAAATTCTCCCTGTCTGTCTACAATGGGATATATTCAAGAAGAAAATTGCCATACCCTGTAAGCTTGGAAGCAAAGCTTGATGTTTTGTAATTGCCGGATATGTGTTTAGTTCTAGTGCTTCTGCAGAGTTTTTGCTTAAGCAAAACAGAATATCTTCCTATTTCCAGTTACTGTTCATCAACAAGGGAATGTTTTAGTCTAAATTTAGATGAGCTCTGTTTAAAACAGAAGAAAGCAGAAATGGATCCAAGTGCCTGATAGCGAGTATTTGTATGCAGGGAAATTAGACCAGGAGCATAGCCAGGCAATTAAATGTTCATGGAACTTATTCTGGATTTTGTGGTAATAAAAAGCTGGTACAGAGAAGCCTTTGTATGCATGTGAGCTGTCGGTCATAAATTAACTAAGATGTTTTGTTCACTGAATGTTCTTTTTGTACTTAATATTTTTGTATTAGTTGGGTATCTTTGAAAGCTTCCTTTTCTCTAGGCTGAACAACCTCAGTTCCCTCAGCCTCTCCTCATAGGTCATGTTCTCCAGACCTCTCACCAGCTTTGTTCTCCTTCTCTGGACGTACTTAATTTCTGTGTCTTTCCTGTAGTGAGGGGCCCAAAATCAGACACAGAATTCAAGGTGAGGCCTCACCAGCACCAAGTGCATCATCACTGCCCTACTCCTACTCACCACACTATTCCTGAAACCTGATTGTGTACAACTGTTAAGTCTTACTAAAATATGCTGTATCTGTGAGAATCTTCCACAAGTATAAATATGTCATTAATTACCCAAATCTACTTCAATCTAAAATGACTGTGACTTGAAGTATGTTTTCGGAGTTGTTTGAGGGGAAAAAAAGTATTTCAGTCTATTAATAACAAAAACTTTTTTGTATCTCAAGAAAGAAAATATTCTTCCTGTTCTTGTTTGTTTGTTTGTGTAAGTGCTTCTATTTGGAAAAACTTCAAAAAGGTTTTTAAAAGTGGTGTGTGTGTGTGCATGGGTATAAACAGACAGATTTCTTACTCAGAAAACCTTTTGGTACCTAACACAGTCCTTTGACCTGTGTTGTTGCAATTGGATGGTGCAGGAAGAGAAAGAGTGTTTATTCACACTGCTATCCCTTGACTAAAGAAACCCAGTTTACCTTCATTTAGTTTTGGTACCTAACACTTACAGTCCTTTGACCTGTGTCGTTGCAATTGGATGGTGCAGGAAGAGAAAGAGTGTTTATTCACACTGCTATCCCTTGACTAAAGAAACCCAGTTTACCTTCATTTAGTTTATAAACCAAAGCTGTTTCTTAAAACATAGATATCTCAAAATTTTATAGAATTTAAAAGGATCAGAAAAAACTTTGTGTATATAAAACCACAAACATTCATGGAAAAGTGTATTGTCTTTAAACCTGCACTTGGAAATAATCTACCAAGCAAGAAAGAAGAATGTTTGATGTTTACCTAATTATGTTATCTTATTACTAACATAAATCAAATATTAAAACCTGTCAGGCTGCATTGTCTCTAAAGCATATAAAATTATTTACTAGTTCAGTAAGTGCCTTTTTGTTACAAAAAATAAACAAAAAGCCCCCAAAAAGTCAAACCCAAGAGCAACAACAAAACCACCAACAACAACCAAAACCACAAACAAACCTAACAACAAAAAACCCCAAAGAAACCCCGAAACTGCTACATTTATCAGTTGCACTGATAAATGATTCACATCTATGAACTTCAGTTCTGCTTCAGTCTTACAATTTTCTGATTGCATTTTATTGAATCCTTTCATTCTTTTGGCAAGGCTGACTGTGTGGGGATGGAGGATGAAGCGGCACACTCGTGTGAGAGCTCCCCCGTGCAGATTCTTCATCTGTAATAAAGGTTAGAGTGCAGTCCTCAGTGGAGGCCACTCACTGCAGAGTAAGATTGCACAAAAGCAGTGAGGTGATGAACTGTTGCACTCTGGCTGCTCCACACTTT